TGTAACAGGCAATCGATGGAACACAGTAGGCAGCCCACACCTGGGCTGACCCCATACACAGCCCCAAGAGCAGAGACGAGAGCACCTAGGAAGCACAGAATCTGCACATCAGGCGAACGACAGGTGAGAAGCAGAACCAAAGAGCCAGAGCCCAACCCCGCAAGCACAAGGAGGCGAGCACATAACACCCTCGACACAGGAAAATGCACCACCGAACAGGCACCTCCACCCTTGCACCGTGGAACAAGGTGGAGGCGGGGCCCCGAACTCAAGCATGGTTAGACAAGCATAGGAGAGGGGCAGGATGAGTACAGGCTGGAGCCGCCTCGCAAGGGCCAAGAGGCCACCCGCAGTCACCCGTGAACCATAGAAGGAATCAGGTGGTGAGAACAAGAGCTGCCACGTATGGGCTAATAGCCCTGCAGCAAGCACCTCGGTTGTTACGTTCCACGTCAAGTACGTATGTACACCCACTCCTACTTCCAAAAACAAAAACAGCGTCAGGACGAAGGAGACGCCAGACCGCACCAACTCACCTGCAGAACATAGGCGCTGAAGGGCCATGACGCAAGCCGATGAGAACGTAGTCACCAGAGGCGGCCAGGGTGCCCATGCCGGAGAGGAGGAGGGGAGCGGTGAAGGAGGCTCCCCCCACCTTAAAATGCAGGGAAAACCTTGTGACTTCCCCACAGCGGCACTCCAGAACACCCCCAAGAGGCGAAGCCCCCCTGAGATAAAATGGACGCAAAACACCAACACATGTGCACACCGCCCAGAACCAAAACAAACTCCCACGGCGCATGCGCAGGACACGAAAGAAAAGTAGCCCAACAAGGCAACAAGTAGCCCAACCGGCTACAAGTAGCCCAACCGGCCACAAGCAGCCCAACCGGCCACAAGCAGCCCAACCGGCCACAAGCAGCCCAACTGGTCACAAGCAGCCCAACCGACTACAAGTAGCCCAACCAGCCACAAGCAGCCCAACCGGCTACAAGTAGTCCAACTGGCGACAAGTAGCCCAACCGGCGACAAGGAGCCCAATCCGGCATCCCAGACCAGAATGGAAGGAACCATTACGGAGGCTAACTCCGGGTCACGCAGGAGGTAAGCCGCAAAGGCCAACCGCACCGCAGGCGAAGAGATGTGGGTAGCTGAAAACCTCCAGAAGACGGAACCGAAGAAACCACAGGGACACAGAACCGAACCCGGGGAGGAACAGAACCCAAGTCCAAATCGTACGCAGAGGGGGAAAAAGAAAACGCCACTCCTTGCAACAATAAGCCCTGCTCGAAAGGACGGGAATCCAGGCGGGGCCCAATGGAGCCCAAAGGCCCCCAAGGCTGCTCCTCCCCAACCACAGGAGCCTCTACACCAGGCCCCGGGGCCGAGTCAACCTCCAAAGCCCCGGCCTCACAAGAAAAAGCCGGGGCAGCCGAGAGAGCTGGAAAAAGAGGGGCCCACTGGTCAGACCCCGGAGCATCGGCCGGAGGAACAGACTCGAATGCCTCCGCAGCTACCCCGGACGGGGCAACCCCCGAAACTACCCAAGTCTCAGAAACCTCTAACCCCGCCCCGACCCCGAAGCCTGCAGACGCCTAGGGGCCGGAAGCAGGAGGGGGGGGAACAAAACAAGGGGGCGTGGACGGAACCAAGGCCGAAGCGACCAAAACACCCAAGTTCCTACATAAAGTGGGGCAGCCTCAGGGCATCCGGGGAAGCGACAACCCGAGCGCGTTGCAACAACCTACCCTGCAACACGCGAGCTGCCTGCACCCAAGGGAATTCATCAGCAGACTAGGTGAATTGAGTCACGAACAAGCAACAAAGCTCGCAGGACTCGGGGTCGAATGTGTCACCGACCCAACAGGCAGCATGATGGAGGCAAAAACAAGGAGAGTCACCCCTGAGACAAAGGAACAGAGCAACCCTCAACTCGCACAAAGCAAGAGGGGACGCAAGGGTCTCCACTATCGGACCCGAGAGCCCCAGTAGGGTTTCCTAGGGCCCCTAGACTGGGTCTGCTAAGGGTTATCCCAGGCAGGGCACTGCTAACCGGCGCCCCAAACTACCAAGCAAACTGCAAACCCACGGGACGTGTCCACCCATGAGGGCGAAGCAGAGGGTGCCACCACACAAACGACACTAATATAAGGGGGGGGGGGGACACAAGGCAGACCCACCTACCAGGCAAAAACAAATATAAAAGAAAAACCACACAAGTGGACAATGTACCCAGAGGGAACAGAGCTGGCCGCTGTTATAAGTGAAAACTAGCTACGCAGTACCCTGCGCCCCACCAGTGCTATAACTAACACTTACCCCAAGGTAAACAAGGAAGGAAAACCCCCAAACACTTGGGGCGGCCAAATGCCAAGCAGCGAAAAGCCAACAGAGGTAGACCCAAGGTGACTTGTGGAAGGCAACCCCAAGGCCCAAGGGCGGTACTTACATACCACTCAGGGAAGGTGACCCTAAGCACATGCAGCCCGAGTACCTGAGAATACTACTCCCAGCTCACACGACTACCATAAGAGCAGCACTGAAAACAAGTCACCGGAGCTGGAGCCATACAACCATGCACTATTCCATCAGCTGAGGAACTGGGGCAGGGATCGCCGGCGCGGGGGTCTGGGGCTCCCACTTCCCCCTCCCGGGGAGGGGGGAGCTGCGCAGATATGCGGCGCGGCTCGTAATTACCTAAGTGTAATTACCTAAGTGTAGTTACAGGATGAGAGCTACGCTCGTGGTGTCCCGTCTTCCCAGCACTCTTTGTCATATAACGCTTTGAAACTACTGACGGTCTTGGCCTCCACCACCTTCTCACTTAACTTGTTCCAACCGTCTACCACTCTATTTGCGAAGGTGAATTTTCTTATATTTCTTCGGCATCTGTGTTTAGCTAGTTTAAATCTATGGCCTCTTGTTCTTGAAGTTCCAGGTCTCAGGAAGTCTTCCCTGTCGATTTTATCAATTCCTGTTACTATTTTGTACGTAGTGATCATATCACCTCTTTTTCTTCTGTCTTCTAGTTTTGGCATATTTAATGCTTCTAACCTCTCCTCGTAGCTCTTGCCCTTCAGTTCTGGGAGCCACTTAGTAGCATGTCTTTGCACCTTTTCCAGTTTGTTGATGTGCTTCTTAAGATATGGGCACCACACAACAGCTGCATATTCTAGCTTTGGCCTAACAAAAGTCATGAACAATTTCTTTAGTATATCGCCATCCATGTATTTAAATGCAATTCTGAAGTTAGAAAGCATTGCATAGGCTCCTTGCACAATATTCTTTATGTGGTCCTCAGGTGATAGTTTTCTATCTAGAACCACTCCTAGATCTCTTTCTTTATCAGAATTCTTTAAAGATTTCTCACATAATATATAGGTTGTGTGGGGTCTATGTTCTCCTATTCCACATTCCATAACATGACATTTATTAACATTAAATTCCATTTGCCAAGTGGTGCTCCATATACTTATTTTGTCCAGGTCTTTTTGAAGGGCATGACAATCATCTAAATTTCTTATCCTTCCTATTATCTTAGCATCATCAGCAAACATGTTCATATAATTCTGTATACCAACTGGTAGATCATTTATGTACACAATAAACATCACTGGTGCAAGAACTGAACCCTGTGGTACTCCACTTGTGACATTTCTCCATTCCGATACATTGCCTCTGATTACTGCCCTCATTTTTCTATCAGTCAGAAAATTTTTCATCCATGATAGAAGCTTACCTGTCACCCCTCCAATATTTTCCAGTTTCCAGAACAACCTCTTATGTGGAACTCTGTCGAAAGCCTTTTTTAGGTCCAGATAGATGCAGTCAACCCAGCCATCTCTTTCCTGTAATATCTCTGTGGCCCGATCATAGAAACTGAGTAAATTCGATACACAGGATCTTCCTGATCGAAAACCATACTGTCTGTCTGATATTATATCATTTCTCTCCAGGTGTTCTACCCATTTAGTTTTGATTAGCTTTTCCAATACTTTCACTATTACACTTGTCAATGATACAGGTCTATAATTGAGGGGGTCTTCCCTGCTGCCACTTTTGTAGATTGGAACTATGTTAGCCTGTTTCCACACGTCTGCTACGATTCCTGTACACAGGGATGCCTGAAAGATCAGGTGAAGTGGAATGCTGAGCTCAGATGCACATTCTCTCAGAACCCATGGTGAAACGCCATCTGGGCCAGCTGCTTTGTTCCTCCCGAGCTCCTTTAGCATATTTTCCACTTCATCTCTAGACACCTCTATCCGCTCTATGTTGTTCTCTGGAATTCTTATTGTGTCTGGTTCTCTGAAGATTTCATTTTGTACAAACACACTTTGGAACTTTTCATTTAATGTTTCACACATTTCCTTTTCATTTTCCGTGAATCTGTTTCCCATTTCCAACCTCTGGATATTATCCTTTACCTGCAATTTGTTGTTTATGAATTTGTAGAATAGGCCCGTCAAGCATGACGTCGTGTGACGTCATGCTTGTTAGTTCGTTTTTTTTGGGGAGTTCTGTCCGCTCGTTTGTCGATTTTCGTTGTTAACCAGAATAGGGGTTTGTTTTATGGCGCTTACCTTTCTGGGTGCCTGTCCCAGTCGATGGCAGATACAGTATAGAATGCTCCAAATCACATGTGCAATTCTATGGGCTATTGCTCCCCGTGCCTCTGTGAGGGGGCCAGGTTCTGGCTCATGGTCCCCGGTAGGCCTAGAACTCCACCCACATCGACTGATGCAAAATAGTTAGGGTATCCATATCAGCCATGGATAGCTCCGGGGAGCCATAGGGGTTCCCCCCAGAAAAAATAATAAATTAAGTTGAGAGAATATTTATCTATTATGAATATTGTAACATTTCAGAATTAGTTAATCTAGCTATATACTGTATATATGTTGTTCTAACTGTAATAATATAGAGAAAAATGAAGCAATAGGTGCTTCCGAAATATCATTACAGTATAGTAATTGAGTTGCAGATTCCAAGAGACTCACAGTAAAGTTCTCTATGAGGAAAGGATAATTGAGAACCACTGCCACTTCAAAGTCACTGATGGCAGTAACAGCAAGGTTTTCATATGCATTGGTGGGGCACACGAACTGGGCCCCTTTCAAGAGGCCTTTTCTCTTGGCCACTATTGCTCGTAGTTTTGACAGGAATGTCTCCACAACCTGCAAGAGGAAAGTCAATATGGGAATTTCTGACAAGTCATGTGAATGTGTCTGAAAGATCATTTTGATTACCTGTACGTGTGGATAAAATCAGGAGTTTAATATAAAATTATAAAAAATCAGCTTCGAATGTAATGAAACACAATTTTCTGGGTGAGCCCCGGAGGCTCCCTGGAACTATCAGGCTAATATGTGATACAGAGCACCACTTGGTTTCTGAACACCTTGGGGACGAGACCTGTCAGTTATTGTTTAAATTCGTAAACGAGAAATGGAGGAAAATGGAGAGAGAAAAAAAAATAAAAAAATAAAAACAATGCAAGGAAAAAAAACGACAGGTTCATAGCATAAATGCAACAGTATTTTGTTTGCATTCACCAATTAGAGAAGTCCTGATCCACTTCTCCTTCAGAAGAGGCGGGACCAAAGAGCCAGAGCTCAACCTGCAAGCACAACTAGGTGAGTACACCCTCACTGCTGCTGCCCTCCCTCCCCCCAAAGTGGTTAGCTTAGTAGATTGCCAGCCAGAGAATCTCCATCTAATACAATAAAGCATTCATGAAATAAATATTTTTATAACTTTTATTATCCTAACAGTTTTGCTTGGTAACAACTCAGCATTGAGTCATCTATTTAATAGAGGGAAGTCCGGTAACAACTCAGCATTGCATCATCCGTTAAAAACTGTGCCCAGCATTCGCTCTTGGCTGTGGGAGGGGCGCGTCGCAGTTTTGGACCTTATAGGCCTTACATATATAGTTGAAAAGAGTATAAACATTTTATTGTGCTTGATTAGCACTCACAGGGGTAATACGATGTCACTTTCTTTGTTTGCTGTGGGTAGTACACCGGGCTTTTGGAGTTTATATGCATTTAGTCCTGTAGAGAAATTAATTGCGAACATATTGATACCAAAATGAAAAACCTATGACGAGAATTGAGGTGACCAAAGTGAAATGAGTGTACACATTTCATTGCTCTTGCGTGCTCCGGGGTAACTCGCTCTCACTTTCTCTGTTTGCTGCGGGTAGTAAGTCCGGCTTTTGGAGTTTATATGCATTTAGTCCTGAAGAGAATTCTATTGCGAACACATTGATATCAAATTGAAAAACCTAGGACGAGAATTGAGATGACAAAATTGAAAAGAGTATAAACTTTTCAGTATTACCCCACTCTCTAACGGAAGGCCAGGAGCCCTTCAAATCAAATCAAAATCAAATGTTTATTCAGGTAAAGTACATACATATAAAGTGAGATACAAAACGTTGATGGATTTATAGATAGAGCTAGTACATACAATGCCTAAAGCCACTATTACGCAAAGCATTTCGGGCAGGAAAATCACTAAGACTAAAACTTAATACTAATTGAGATTAACCCCTTAACTGCGTTGCCTCCAAATGTGACACCCCCGCAGTGCGCAGGAAATAAATTCTCTGGAAAAAATTCTTTTTTCTTTTTAAAGTGTCAAAAACCCTTCCCTTAGTATGGGTATGTAAAAAAAAAGTCGAAATTGTACTTACTTTGGCTGCTATGGGGTCCGGAAGTTGGGGCGTGACGTCATCATTCCCCGTGCGCCCGTGCCGTGAGCTCTCGGGGGCGGTGGGGCGCTCGGGGCGGGGCGCGCGAGTTGCCGCGAATATATTTTCTTTCATTTTTTGCGCACCTTTCCAAATGCATTTTCATTGTTTTTATGTGCCAATCCAATGTATAATGAACACATACACTATAATATCGCAGTACAACATCCGTACTGTCCGTAGACACTGTGTTACGTGCATGAAACTTGTGTACACATATGCAGCACATATTTACTATGTATCATGCTAATTTGTGTATATATACAATCTATTTACACACTATACACTGTCACACACTATATACATTCACCATCAACACATTCAGAACACCGCGTAGCAGCTGCTTCGTATGGGCCAATAGCAGCTGCCTCGTATGGGCCAATAGCAGCTGCCTCGTATGGGCCAACAGCAGCTGCCGCGTATGGGCCAACAGCAGCTGCCGCGTATGGGTCAAAAGCAGCTGCCGCGTATGGGCCAATAGCAGCTGCCTCATATGGGCCAATAGCAGCTGCCCTGTATGAGCCAATAGCAGCTGCCCTGTATGGGCCAATAGCAGCTGCCGCATATGGGCCAATAGCAGCTGCCGCATATGGGCCAATAGCAGCTGCCGCGTATGGGCCAATAGCAGCTGCCTCGTATGGGCCAACAGCAGCTGCCTCGTATGGGCCAATAGCAGCTGCCTCGTATGGGCCAATAACAGCTGCCTCGTATGGGCCAATAGCAGCTGCCTCGTATTGGCCATGAACACATTCAGAATACCTCGAGTGAGAGCAGCCACACCCAGCCTGTCTCCCTCACTCCAACATCTTACTCGCCAACATTGCTCCTCCCACCATATTGTTATAGTTCTTATTACACATGTTCTATATACCTATCTACATGTTTTATTTACCAGAACTATGCAAGTAAGCCGGTATTGTGTCCAAACAGTACAGTGGCCACCATACACTGCATGAAAAATTACACAGCAGATGACACTACGATTACGTCACCTCCCTCACCAAAATAGCTCCTCTCAACATTCTCCTGTTGCTGTTCTTACACTATATACACACACTATATATACCCATGTACATATGTGTTGCCCATAGCGAACCACTAAGCTAGTATGGTGAGCAAAACAAGAGTGGCAGCCACACACACAATGAGGCTACCTCAATTCTCGCCCTCCCTCCCTCATCAAAATTCCTCCTTCCACAATACTACGCACAACGCTAATTATAACCACATTCCTGCTATTATCACAATCCTGGTCACTAATTCCTGTAAATGAATAATTGACCACACGTTTATTTTGAAAAGGAACCTAAGAAATCATTTGAAGATTCCTAGATGAACGAAATAATGCTGTGGTGCTGTGGCTAGCGCTGTGAACATCGTGAACAGCATTGAATCACTGATATTTGAACATTGTACCCAATCATTATCACACACAGGCTCTAATATAACACTATCATAGCTAAATAATACAAGTTATATATATATATTGACATTATTAGGCGATGCTGTGGTCACATGCTGAACAGCAGTGCTGTGCGCTCATGCTGCAAGCGCCAGCCTTGGTTGCTCATACACTACTGAGGCTCCCACACCCGGGAATGTGGACCACGATTTTTTTTAAAGATGGCGTCTGTTTACAAGAGCCATGAGGAAGCTGATGTGAACCCCATGTAGCCGCGGGAGTTTTGAATGGAACGTGAAAAATACAAATACCCGGAGGCGCGTTGCGCAAACCAGACGTGAGCCTGCAGGCGCGTTGCGCAGTTTAAGGGTTAAAGTATAAATTGTGTTGAGAAAATAAAAAAATGAAAAAGGGGGGGGGAACAAGAAAATAGCAAACAGCATTGTTTAAAATAGTAGATATGGGTTGACATTCAGGAGTAAGGTAGGTTACAAGGAGTTAATTAGGTAGTACTTAGTTTTTATCTTAAACTGGTTGGGAGAGGTACAGTCTTTAACATGATTGGGAAGGTCATTCTGGGTCCCTTGATTTGTAGAGCATTTCTAATTTGATTAAGTCATACTCTTGGAATATCAAATAGGTATTTGTTTCTGGTGTGGTGCTCATGGGTTCTGTTACAACCTTCTAGGAAACTATTGAGGTCAGGATTAACATTATAGTTCAGCATTTTATATATATAAAATACACATGAGAGGATGTGCAGTGACTTAATATCTAACATATTCAGAGATTTGAGTAAGGGTACCAAGTGATGTGTGAAGCCAGAGTTAGATATTGTTCTAATAGCAGCTTTGTCTTGAGTAATTATTAGATGAAATTAATTAGATTTTCTCGGCCCCTTAGGGGTGGCGGGGCGCTCTCTTCCAGGTAACCTCGGCCTGCTTTGTCGGCGGGTGGAGCGCGCTGCGGTTTTTGACATTATATGCATATACTCCTGTTGGGAATCTACTGCGAACACATTGACACCAAAATGGATGAGAATTGAGGTGACCAAAGTGAAAAGAGTGTACAAATTTTATCACTTTTGCGTGCTCCCGGGTAACATGCTATCACTTTCTCTGTTGAGGATGGTACGCCGGGCTTTTGGACTTTATATGCCTTTAGGCCTGTACAGAATTCTATTGTGAACACAATAATACCAAATTGAAAAACCTTGGACGAGAATTGAGGTAAGAAGGTTGAAAAAGAGTATACATTTTTCAGAATTACCAAGCGCTCCCACGGAATGCCAAAACCCACCAGGAATAGTGCAGCGCTCGCGCGCCCGGAGCATCAAAGTGCTAATAATATAAATTAAAAATTTAATAAACAAAACCTGTAACCAAAAATATATATGATGATGTACTGTACATCCAGAACTTAAAAAACAAATCTTGGCTAACAGGTCGAATGTGGTTAGGCTCAAGGGGCATCAGTTAGTTTTTTAAAAGTTGTTCAATGTCAACAAATCTTTTCTGTGGGGAGCCCCTTCGGCTCCTTGGAACTTATCGGGCTAATGTATGTTACATTAGACCGGGACATTAGCTAAGGAGTTCAGACCTACCAGGGACCAGCGCCAGAACCTGTGCCCCTTTTGAGAGGTTTCAGGGAGCAATGGCCCTGGAAAAACCCCCTTGTGGTTGGGGTTTTCCTTATCTGCCATCGACCGCATTTAGGCACCCAGAAAGGTAAGCATAACAAAACAAACCCCACATGGTAAAAAACTAAAACAAAAAACCGAACAGAGAGGTAGAAACTCCCTACAATGCCAAGGAAACAAGCAAACAAGCAAACATCACACTTTACTGCCGCGCCGATCATCCGGGCAGCCCTCCCCACCCCGAAAGGGGGAAGGGGGAGCCCCGGACCTACCGCACCAGCTGCCTAGCTTCAGTTCGTAAGCTAATGTCAACCGGGATAGACGCTTCTCTGGCCTCAGTTTCCTAGACGATGTTTGCCTTATGTGGCATTCACTGCTG